TACCATGGCTCAGGTCAGGCACACAGTAATCCTTTTTGCTCAATGCAGTTTGTCATTTGATTTGACTGCTGCTTCCACGAGTGTCTCAAGTAAAATGATGTCCTTGGTATCAGTCTTTGCTTCATTTACCATGCTTATTGGTCCTGCTGGGAAGATTTGATTTCTTCAGTTATAATCTAGACTGCCTTCAACTATAGTCTTCCTTCATCAGCAAATGCTTTGTGTATACCAAATGCTTTGTGTATACCCATTGCTATCAAGTCAATTCCAATTTAGAGCAACCCTAAACAACTGACCTTGTTGTCCAAAACTCTAATCTTACAGAAACTGCCACATCATTCTCCCACTAACTTTTCAATTTGCAGGCAAGCCCGACAGGCTTAGCCTAGGAATTAAGGACTAGTGATCTTTTTAAAAATCAACCAATGTGTCACAGTGGTCTCGTTCCCTGGAGGGGTACAGAACCTTGTTCTGTTTTGTGTGGGGTTTTCATGCGTCATTGGCCATCTCAGTGACAGCTGAGAGTCCAGTTTGGAATCAATTTACTTCTTTAAACATCTGGGTTTCTAAGAAACCTAACTAAAATATGGGTCACATTTGGATCTTTCACTGCCACCTTTTTATGTTTGTGTTGTATGCCCAGGGAGTACATGCCAACTTTGGAGGAATTTTTTGAAGAAGCCATTGAACAAGCAGACCCTGAAAATATGGTTGAAAGTGAATATAAGTAAGTAAATTTTCTCATGAACCAATGTTAATTTTTTTCAGCGTTTTTTCATAGGAATAGCAAATCTACTAGGAATCTTCTTAAGGTTCAATTGTTAGGGTAATGCTTTTCCTCCGGCAGTTTTGTGTAGTCATTACTGCACACAGATGATGCTCTGCAATGTAGAAATGCACTGTAGTATTTTGTCTAAGACCCATCGCCTCTTTTCTCGGTTCCTTTTTCAAGGCACAGTGTGTCTCCCACTAGTTTTGGAGGTTTTTTTTTTATTAAACCACTGCCTTTTCCTCAGCTTCCTTCCTCCTTAACCTGTTAGGTCAAATTTGAATGGTACAAATGTTCGGAGAATAGTATATGTTACAATATTACATCAATGATTTGATGGAGAATTTTGAAAATGCTAGAAGATTCAAAGTGCTTAAACAGAATAATGATGGAGAGGAAGACTTTATGCAGAGCCATAACACTTAACGTTGTCTCCAAGGAACAGAGGCGCAGTCAAGTACTCAAGTAAATAGATGTACTTGAATTCAATTTGGCCTGTTTGGGGAGCAGTACTTTAGGAATCTGAGATTAGCTCTCACAGGGTACCACCTATTACTGCTCTGCTCCATTAACACTAGGTTCATAGGAGAGGTCACTTGGATGCATTTCAAGTTCTCCAGAACCCATTGATACTTACCTCCTACCATCTATGGTGACTTTTATCTATATAATGAGAGAAGCATATCCGAATTCATTTTTCTAAGCCTTCTAATTGCAAAATTCCCTGTGTGATGTACCTGTCTACAGATATACATCAATTTGATGCAAAAAATTAATAATCCCACTAAATCTGTTTCACTCATAGAAGCATTACTTCAGTAATAGTCAAAGTTCTTAAAGTAAATTATCAAATGTAAATATAATGTAGCAGATTGCTCACTGACCAAGCTAAGTGACCCTTAAGATGCATCGAACCTAGGATCTCAAATGATGTTAGTTTTATATACATAGTATTGCATAGTTTCGTTGATAAGTTAATAGTGTATAATTGTTTTTTTCACTCGTATATCAATTTGATACGTGTGTTTTAAAGATCTATAAACCTTGTGTTAAGTAATTCATGGGTTCTCTTCTTAATGTAACTGCTCATTGTGTTAGTGACTGGATGTTTCCTTTTGGCAGTTTAACTTTTTATTGTGAACTAGGTGAAGATTTGTAGAACAAATTAGTTTGATCAACAGTTCACACATTTTGTGTCAACTCATCCATCACAATCCCCTCAACGTATCACCACTTATCCCACTTTTTACAGGTGTTTCTTAATTCCATTCCACTTTTCCTAACCTTAACGTTGACCTTGGAGAATTCATGTCCTTTGCTTTGAAGTGGTTGCTATGGAGGCGAGTTCCTTTCCAGACCTGAAGGGCATGGAAGGGGCAGCCAGACTTAGGGTCCCACCAGTCCTCTACTCACCAGGAAGCCGAGGGTCTTGTGATACTGAGTTTTGTTCCACATTTTTGTCACTCCAGCCAAGACCTTTGAAGGAATGAGTTCATTTTTCAGAGTAGTTGGTAGTGGTAACTGGGTACTATCCAGTTCTTCTGGTCTCAAGAGTTGTAGAGACTAATTATTGGACTAATTTTGTTGGGACCATTTTTTATTTAGAGGTTGATATTAAGTGAAAATGTTACACAAATAGAAAAACAAGTATTGGTTCAATTATCATGATCAAAACTCACTGCTGGGCTTATAAAACATTCTGACACTTGTGTCTGCAGGATTCAGACATACTGGTCATTGCCAGTCTGACCATTAACTCGCTGAACATTATGTGCCTACTATACTTCTATAACCTGTTTTTCTTCCAGTAAACCAAATGGATGATCCTTGTCCTCCACTTATACTGCGTAGGCAACATTAGACACACGTTGTATTTAACCTTTAAAATTTAAGTAAAATGTCTGTGAAGTTTTCAAGTGTATTTGCTACATATGAGCTTACCCAAGCAACACAAGGGGACTTTGCCACTTTATATGAATGTTGGGCTTGTTACATATGAATGGGCTGCATACTGAGAAGCTCTTTAGGAATAGGATTATGATTAAAAGAATGGTACATTCAGCTACTTACCTTTCGGAATTTCAAGTGACAGAATTATATTAACTATAAAGTAAAAAATTTCCTACAGGGCTGTGAACAATTCAAATTATGGATGGAGAGCACTAAGACTATTAGCACGGAGAAGCCCTCACTTCTTCCAGCCAACCAACCAGCAGTTTAAAAGTTTGCCAGAATATCTTGAAAACATGGTAATAAAGCTAGCCAAGGAATTACCAGTAAGTGATATGGTCAATTTTTTTAATCCTTAACATGTCTTAATTTTAAGCATAGAGCTGAATTCAGAGTGTAGAATAGTGAGCCACCCCCACCCTCCAAGTTTTACACAAAGGGAAGAAAGCACTAGGGTTTACATTTATAAGAAATGCACTAGTTGTAAAGAATTGACTACTGATTTTATTATACCATAGAATGTAACTCAGGTTCACAATATTTCGGACAAACTGTTGTCTACCTGGAAACTCAGCATGTTTCTTGTTTTACAGTGTATTGTCTTTTATCAAAGATGGGGAAATATTTGTGCCTTTCGACACTCTTTTCCAAGGAAAGATGAGAACTAAAAACTATACTGTGTACTAAAAACATTAAAAAATTACTCAGACTGAAGGGGGTGGTTGCTCCTCCCACAGCCCTCCCTAGACAGTTGTGATCTTCCGCTCATTACTTGCAGGCCAGCTGCTCAGGCTTTACACTACCTGCCTCTTCTTCCCAGGTTGGGAGCAAGGGGAGTCTTTCCAGGCCTCAGCTCATCCCCTATGGCATTCCTCCAGATAGGCCACCCCATTTGTGATCCTTACGTGACATACCTAACACCCTAAGAGTACCCTGAATGTCTAACCATTATGCATAAACAGTCTCCATTTTTATTTCGAAAGTTAACATTGCATTTTCTCATTCTTAGCCTCCTTCTGAAGAAATAAAAACAGGTGAGGATGAAGATGAGGAAGATAATGATGCTTTACTGAAGGACAGTGAAAGTAAGTTGAGGTTTCTTGACTGGTTTATAAAATTGGCAGGTGGGGTTGTTTGTAGTGATTTAAAACTATTTCATACAATCAAACAATACTATGCCTTAAATAATACAACTAGAAAATGAAAACTTCAAATGGAAGGTACATAGGTTTGCATTTGAAGGTGGGGGAAAACTCTTAAGAGGAGCAGCTTGTTTCTGGGAAAAACGCAATTTTCTGTAATAGAGAAACAGCTTTAGTTTTGCTTATTGATCTAATGGGGGGCCATGGCTGTAAAAATAGTATTCAGCCCATGAAGAATATTCTACCTTAATTGGATTTTCAAATAAAGCTTACAAAGGATTAGGAAACCCTGGTAGTGGCTCTGGGGTAGGCATTAGGCTGCTAACCACTAGGTTAGCAGTTCTAAACCACCAGCCACCCACTCCACAGGAAAGATTCTTTCTACCTCTGCAAAGTTAGTCTTCAAAACCCACAGGAGCAGTTCTACAATATAGAGTCACTATAGACTCAGAATCTATTCAGTGGCAGTAAGTTTGGGGCTTTCTGGTAGTACAGTGGTTAAACACTCAGCTGCTAAGCAAAAGGTCTGTGGTTCAAACCTACGAACTGAGCAGGAGAAAAATTTGGAAGTCTGCTTTCCTTAAAGATTATAGCCTTGGAAACCCCAGAGTACTGTATATACTCTAGTACAAGCCGACCCGAATATCAGCTAATTTTACCACAAAAATTGCATTAAAAATGTGCTGAAAAACTCGGCTTATACATGGTATTTCTATTCTGATTGTTGTGTCTGAAACAACTTGAATCTGTCCCGCCCTGTATCTTCCCAATGCTCTCGTGTTTTTAGTTGTGCAAGTCATTGTATTTTGCATATAACACAAATGGACATTTACTCCTTGTCTAATAGGTCCTGGTGTCCGGCGAGACAAACCTGTAACTGGGGAACAGATAGAGTTCTTTGCCAACAAACTGGGCGAACAGTGGAAGGTGCTGGCTCCCTTCTTAGAGCTGAAAGACTCTGAGATCCGGCAGATCGAAGGTGACAGTGAAGACATGAGGATGAGAGCTCGGCAGCTGCTGGTTGCCTGGCAAGATCAAGAGGGAACCCAGGCAACCCCAGAGAATCTAATTAATGCACTAAACAAGTCTGGATTAAGTGACCTTGCAGAAAGTCTAACTAATGACAATGAGACAAATAGTTAGCTTATTTCTTTGTTTGTTTTTTATTAAAACTGTGATAAGATTTTGTTACCAAGCAGCATTTGATAAGAGGTCCACTGGTTTTGGTAAACAATAAACATTTTGATAACAGTTGTTGTACAGTTGGCTGGTGCTCCAAGAACAGCAGCACACATTGGCTCCCGGTCACTGACCCAGGGTTTGGAGGGCGGTGGGTTGGAAAATGGCCGTGATTATTAAGTGGCTCAAAGTCACAGAACATACTTTTACTTAGTAAATATCTCAAAGCACTATGTAGGGTTTATGTTGTTTCCTAAGTTTTACTGGGCCAAATTTGTGTGCTATTAAATTATAAATTTTAGTTCACCATTCTGAAATCCCAGAGTAAGGCTTTCTGAAACCACGACTTTCTTTCCCCTCAATCATTGATGCTTTAAAGCAGAGATCGGCCAGCACCTGTTTGGATAAAATGTTGCTGTCTATGGGTGCTTTCACACTGAAATAGCAACTATATGGCCTGCAAAACAGATGTTCCCTAATAGAAATGTTTTGTCAACCCTCAACTTTAAAATCTAGGATTTTCAGCCTTACAATAATTACCCAAGCTCTCAAGTCTTTGAAGATAGGGATGCTTACCTCAGAGACTGAAGTTCGGGCCATGTACAGGCATCTTATAAACAGTAAAGCACTGCATGGTGAGCACTGCATGGTGATGGAGGAACGGCGTAAGAGCGTGCCCTCCTCTCTTCCACAGAAGCCTTACCCTCCAGGGCTCCAGATTAGGTGCTTTTTCTTTACGTCTGAGTCCTGAGAAAGCTACTCCCAGTGACCTGAGCTCCACCAGCTGGGTCAGCACAGACAGCGCAGCCGCAATACCAAAATGGCTCCCTTGTTAGTGGCACAGTATATAAGGCACATTCAGCAAGCAAGACCTTTTCTTGCCTGCTCTCCCTTCTTAAAAGGCCTTACCTACAAGGCCTTACTAGTTGAAAACCACTGGTTGAGTTCTAACTTCTAAAAGTATCTTTGGAATTATGTTTTTTGGACCAAAAAAGTAAAATCAAGGGCTATGCACTTTATAATAAACCTACCTGAAATGGTGCAGTAGCTACAGCATCCTACAAATGAGAAAACCTGAATTCTAACTGCTCAATTTTATGTCCTCCAAGTTACTCAAACCAAATGAGCAAGTCAATTTTCAAAAACGTTTGCAAATGGTAAAGGTATAATACAAATACTAATTAATAATTTTCATGGTCTAATCCTGCCCTCTCTCTCTTCTTTGTGCCCTTCTCCCCCACCACTAAGCATTAATTGCCAATAGTAAAAGTTTACGTGAAGAAGCCACATTCGCAAATAATGTCCTGGAATGCTGATTTCATCCCCTATTTTTCTCTGATTGCATTGCTCAAATTACAGAAGAAAATGGCCATTATTCTTTAGGAATAAGTGTTACACGCTACAGGGTACTGGACAACTTAGGCAAAGATAAATTTCATGATCACTCCTAAAATTTTACCGTAACACCAAGAAAACTGCAGACAATTACTCTATTGTCTCGCTAGCAATCAATCCAGGTTCCTTAAATAAGATGAGCAATTGACGTTGAATGTATTTAGATGGGGAAAAACCATATTAAAATACATGGTACTCCTTGGTGTTTCCTTTGATCACTTTAAAATCACTGATCTGAGATTAAATTTTGAGTATGAGGATTAACAGTAAAACAACTGCATTCAGCGTCCAAGGAACTCCATTACTTTCACAATTCTTTATAAATGTAACATTACAAGCAGGCTCAGAGGATGATAAATAGCAGCCTAAAACTAACATCTGCAAGAACTGGACAGCATGAAACATACCTGAAACTAGCCATACTCCCACACACAACAGACAAGAGACTTGAGGTGAATAGCTGTACCCTCCTCTTTTTTAATGAAAGAGCCTCACTTTCTAAAAATAAGTAACCAGAGCTTGTCAACATTTTTTAGGCTGATTACTACAAAACGTTTCAAAGTTGAATGTACAAATCATAGTACATCAGAGAGAGACACAATAATAAAATGTATAATCAGATGTACTATTACTGATCACAATTTATTTCAAAGTCATGAAAAGCCAGCAACAGAACAGACTGAGCCAGTTGGGCTGGACAAATACGTGATTGTACCCATATTTCCTTCCATGGGATGTGGAGAGCAGCACTGAGTTACACAATGAGAGCAACACTTTTCCTTCCACCTTCCTGGCAAAATTATTGTTAGATAAGGCAAAGGATGGGTGGTGATCTGAACCATGCAAAAACAACAAAGTTACAGGTATGCAACAAACATCTTGAGCTGCAAAAGGCAGGGAAAAAAATTTAAGTAATGGTTGAAAGGCATTTCACCTAAGAATTTTCCTTCTAATTATGTATGAAATAAGCCTTTTGTAAATGTTTTCCTGCTCCCCTATGCAGGGTGGCACAGTCCAAAGATAATTGTTCTGTAATTTTTTACATTGATAGACAGTGGTTTGCAAGTCTTCTGTGACCCTCCAGTTCCACACGAGGGAAACATAAAACCACCTAATTACCTTCTAAAGCTCTAGATTGTAGAAATGATCAACGAATAACATTTATTTCACACCTATGCATAAATAGCTAAAATGAATACTACTGTTCACTTTCCTCTTCCATTATTTCAACTCTGCGAGGCCCATAGAGTAAAACGTAAGCTATATGCCAGTCTCCACCACCAGAAAGCCGCAAGATATCTTCTGGTGTGACGATGCTGACTTTATCATCATCAAACTTAATCCATTCATCTAAATAGCAAGAGAGGAAAACAAAGTTATTCAGCATTTCTTACGCAAAAGTCTGTACAGTATTATTTCATGAGCTACACCAAGAGTTCTCCAAATGTGGTCAAGGGACCACAGAGTGAGTCCCTATGACTATTTCTAATATTCTACAAAATCAAAAATATCTTCAAAATATTACAGTATTATTTGTCTTTTCTATCCTTACACTCTCAAGTATAGAATTTCACAGAGGCTACATGATGTGTTGATAATGCAAGACAATGCAGAAGCAGATACGTGAATCCAACCATATTCTATTAAAACAATATAGATTATAAAAACGTAAAATACCATTTATGGCTAATGTAAAATGAATAATTTCTTGCTAATTTGAAAATTCAGTGGTTACCCTTTTAAAAATGGTATTCCTATTAATATAGTTTGGGCATATTAATGTCATTTTTCAATAAAGTACTTAAAAACATTTTTTAGTTATTTTCTAATATAGTAAATCTTGAGATGTAATCCACATAAAAGCTATTTAAAGTCCATAGTGATCAATATGAGATTAAAATTTGGAAAACTATCATGCAATATTTATTCCATATAAATATATGGAATTATTTAAATATTTAGCATGCTGTTCTACTAATAATATGTTCAAAAAACTAATGTTTGAAAAAATAATACTCTTTACCTTGTTTCCTTTTCACCCAAGATACATAATGACCTGAAGAACTAGACCTTCCCTGGTGAGTTAGCACTGCTTGTAAGTCATAGTATCCACAGTTATTGGAGCCAATATCTGAAGAAAGACGTGAATGCATTAATTTTAAAAATGTAGGCATGACTTCTCAAGTTAGAACTCTAAAGTTCATATTCCACAAATGTAACTCTTATTATAATTCAAAAAAAAAAAAACCTGTCCAACCAAAGTAAAGCTTCAGCAGAGAAATTTCAAGAAATAATGTGGTCACTGATAAAACTATGCTAAAAAAGATGGAATAATGCTAACAACATATATGCACATGGAAAAAAGGTATGTACATAAGTAAACGATTATGTTGGAAAACAATTTTACTGTTACTTATAAGAAAAAGTCTCAATTGAAGTGAAAATTTCACTTACCATCAACAAAAGAAAAGGGTTCATATTTAGTCTCCTTCTGGGGACTACTTTTTTGATCACTCTGAAGGGAAAAGATAAGTAATTTAAGCCACAATTGGGGAAATAAAAAAATCGTCTTTCTCAGTGAACATTAAGCTCCACAAATACTATCTACAAGCACAAAGCACTAAGGAAAAACCAAGTTGAAATATACTCTACCTTACAGATAACTAAAATGATGTTACAGGTCACGTAACAATCTATATTTTAAATATATTTAATCTTACACGTACAATAGCAGACTGTCTAGATACACAGCTAACATAGTTTTACTAAAATACTATGACACTGCCAGTTTGAAGGGAACATACATAAATAGATGCTTCAAAACATGAAAAGTCAAATGAATGCAGTTTATATTAAATCTATAGGAGAAAGGGCCACCAGCCACATTAGTCCGAATAAGATGAAATATTTATTCAGCAACATTTGCCTACTTTGAAAGATGTATGATTTGTACTTTAGACAAGGATCGTTTAATGGAAACTCCCTGCCTCAATCCATTTTGGTTGTTTACTGTAACAAAACTAACAAACTTGTCTAAGCATATAGGCACAAAGTGTGTGAGAATTATAATAGTCATATAGCACCACCCTCAAGTTAAAGATAGCTACAGTGGCAAGAAGTAAAGGGATACAAAAGCAGTTCATTAAGTCCACCCCCATTCCTTTTATTCATATGCACATGAAGTCCCAAGGAACTCCTGTGGTCCTACTGGGTAAATGTCAAACTTCCTTACAAGAGGTTAGTAGTGCATATCTTCCAGCCCTGCTCAAATTTTCCTTTCCACCCGGATATTGCTCTCAACTCTCTCACTGCAGTCAAATCAATTCCAACTATGTGAGGTCTTTCTCCCATGGAGAGGTTGGTGGTGTTGACCTTGTAGTTACCTATATACCACCAGGGCTCCCAGTACGCCTAGATACATTAAATGAGAATTTACACTTTAACAAGATCACCAGGTGATTTATGTATATACCTGGAATGTTAAAAGAAAAAAGAATTTATAAGTAATCAATATTCTCTTGCAGATATCAAAAGGATAGCAAATGAATACTAGCAGCAATTCTACACATATAAATTTAACTAGATGAAATGGATCACTTCCTCAAAAATACAAACCACAACTGTCATTATAAAATAAATAGTTTTATAACTATGGGGTAATCAGAACTTGAACTCAATTCAATGGCAACTGGCTCTTTTTTTAAATACAGAACTCAAGGAAAATGAAGTTAAACTTCCAACTTAAAAAAAGAAAAGTTCAGATGTCTGCAGACAAACTATCAAATATTTTCAAAAGATTTAAGTCAATTCTATACAATTGCTTTTAAAAACCAAAGAGTAAACAAAACTATAGTAAGTTCAGAAAAGTGAAAAAACTATATGCAAAAATCAACTATATTTCTATAGCAATGAACAATCTGAAAACCACAAAACGTTAATATAAAATATTAAACGAAAGTAAAAATTCCAAGATCATGAATTAGAAAACAAGATTAAAATTGTAATACTAGTTCCTAATTGCTCTATAGATTCAATGTAATCCCTATCAAAATAACAACTGATTTTTTGGGCAGAAAAGAATAAGCTGACACTGAAAAATCACATGTAAATGCTAAGGTCCCAGGATAGTCAAAACTAACTTCAAACAGAACAAAGTTGAAGGGATTATACTTATTTTGAAATGTTCCACAAAGCTGGGGGGGCGGGGGAGGACTAATCAAGAGTGTGGTACTGACACAAGAGCATACACTACTGGGACAAGTAGATATCTACAAATGTGAATCTAAGATCTATAGTAAACACTAAAAGCTTTTTTTTTAAATAAAAGTAAACTCACTCCCATTGAGTCCATTCTGACTCGTGGTGACGCTATAGGGAATGTGAGTTTCAGAGACTCTACGGGAGGAGGAAGGCCATCTTTCTCTTACACAACAGCTGGTGGTTTCAAACTGCTGACCTCATGGTTAGCAGCCCAACTTGTAACCGCTATGCTACCAAGGGCTCCCTAAAACACAGGTGCAAATGTTGGCCTTGGAAACAGGCAGTGATTTCTTATATGTGATCACAAAAGTATAACCAACCAAAAAAACATTAAGTTAGATTTCCTTATAATTTAAAAGTTCTACAAATGATTTTGCTTCAAAGACAAGCTACAGAGAGAATATTTGAAAATAAGATATTCAAGAAAAGACTAATATATAGAACGTAAAAAGAATGATCAAAACTCAAGAATATTAAAAATTAACAATGCAATTAGAAAATGGGCAAAAGGCAATGAGATGTGTCTCTAAAGATATACAGCCAGTCTAAAAAAAGCACATAAAAAGATGTTCAACCGTCACTGTTGCTATAGCTACCTGGATGCTTGCCACTGGGTCACTTCCGGCTCGAAAGCATCTCAGGAAAGTGTGGAGTAGAACTGTTCCATAGGGTTTCAAGGCTGTGGCCTTTCAGAACCCCATTGTTAGGGCTTTCTTCTAAGGATGATGGTTGAATTTGAACCGCTGCAACCTTTTTGGGTTTGAGTGCTTAACCATTTGCACCACCCAGGAACTCCTCACTAGCCATTAGGGAATTGCAAATTAAAACCAAAAAGAACCTACCAGAATGGGTACTAATGTATCCGAATAGCAAGAATTAAAACACAATGGCCACCCCAAAGGCTGGCATCTGTGTGTGCAGAAAGGGAGTCATATACTACTACTAAGAAGTAAAGCAGCACCGAATGTGGAAAACAACGTTGCAATGTCTTTTAAAAACTAAATATGCAACAACCACACAGACTAGCCAGTCAGTGCTTTCTCGGGTATTTAACCCTTAGAAGTGAAAACTTAGGTACTATCTGCACACGTTTATGTAAGTTTTATTCATAACAGATGCATTTACTGCATCTACAGTTCTTTTTCTTTAGCTAAAATATACCTATAGCTCTAAAGGCCTGTACCAATATGTAAGATGTATCTATGTATATGCTAACTGAATACAGACTGGCCAAGGTTACAAACACCCTACTATGAACAGCTCCTGCCTGTTCTTTACCTTTACGTATATTTAAGGATCCCTGGTAGCATAGTGGTTATGAGCTGGGCTACTAACCACCAAGGTCAGCAGTGCAAATCCACCAGCTGCTCCTAAAAGAAAGAAGAGGTTTTCTACCCGTATAAGAGTTACAGTCTGGAAAACCCACATAGGAAATTCTACCCTGGCCTACTGGGTTGTTAAGAGTCACCTTGCAAGAGGAGGAGAGAAAGGGAGAACCGACCACCCCCAAGGGGACGAACAACAAACCATGTGGGGAGGGAGACAGCAGTTGGTGTAAGACATGAAAACAATTTATAATTTATCAAGGGGTCACAAATATGGGAGTGGGGGGAAGGAGGAAAAAAAGAGGAGCTGATATAAGGGGCTCAAATGGAAAGTAAATGGTTAGAAAATAATGACAACATATGTACAAATATGCTTGATGTATGGATTGTTATAAGAGCTGTAAAACAAACCCAGGGACAAGGGAACAAGTGATCCAAAATCGATGGCAGAGAGGGTGTAGGAGGCCTGGTAGGGCTCGATCAAGGCCAATGTAACAGAGGAATTACTGGAAACCAAGCAAATGTTGAACATGATAGTGGGACAAGAGGAAAGTAAAGGGAAATAGAGGAAAGAAACTAGGAGGCAAAGGCCATTTATGGAGGTCTAAATACAGGCATGTACATATGTAAATATATTTATATATGGCAATGGGGAAATAGATCTATGTGAACTTATTTATAGGTATAGTATTAAGGTAGCAGATGGACATTGGGCCTCCAATCAAGTACTCCCTCAATGCAAGAACACTTTGTTCTAATAACCTGGCAATCCATGATGCTCACGTTCCCAACATGATCGCTGAAGACAAAGCAGGTGCATAAGCAAATGTGGTGAAGAAAGCTGATGGTGCCCAGCTATCAAAAGATATAGCGTATGGGGTCTTAAGGGCTTGAAGATAAACAAGCAGCCATCTAGCTGAGAAGCAGCAGAGCCCACATGGAAGAAGCACACCAGCCTGTGTGATCATGAGGTGTTGATGGGATCAGGCATCAAAGAACAAAAAATCATATCATTGTGAATGAGGGGCAGTGCAGAGTGGAGACACAAAGCCCATCTGTAGGCAACTGGACATCCCTTTACAGAAGGGTCTCAGGGAGGAGACGAGCCAGCCAGGATACAGTATAGCCCCAATGAAACATACAACTTTCCTCTAGTTCCTAAATGCTTCCTCCCCCCACTATCATGATCCCAATTCTACCTTACAAATCTAGCTAGACCAGAGGATGTACACTGGTACATACAGATAAGAGCTGGAAACACAGGGAATCCAGGACAGATAAACCCCTCGGGTCCAATAATGAGAGTAGCGATACCAGGAGGGGAAGGGGAAAAGGGGGGAACCGATCACAATGATCTACAGATAACCCACTCCCTGGGGGATGGACAACAGAAAAGTGGGTGAAGGGAGACATCGGACAGTGTAAGACATGAAATAATAATAATAATTTATATATCATCAAGGATTCGTGAGGGAGGGGAGGGAAGGGAGGGAGAAAAATGAGCTGATACCAAGGGCTCAAGTAGAGAAAATGTTTTGAGAATGATGATGGCAATAAATGTACAAATGTGCTTGAAACAATGGATGTATGTATGGATTGTGATGACCCCTACCAGCCCCCAATAAAATGATATTTTAATAAATAAATAAATATTCACCTGACAGCAATAAGTTTTTGTCCCTCAAATTTTTTTTGCCCTCACTTATAAAGAACTGAACCAATCCCCACTTGCAACAAATTCTTCATCACAATCACCTTCACTTGCTACACAGGCAGCTTTTAAATCATTGAAAAGGCTTTGACCATTTTCTGGAATTAAAGTAATGAGTAATAAGAACCGGATGCACCTGTTCCACTTACCTACAGATATGACTTACAAAGACACATAGAGATGGATGCCGTTTGTAACTTGGCATATGTTCATCCATTTTTACTGATTAACAATTAAAAAGTAGTTGTTGAGAACTGAAAAGAGGTTAAAATATTATAATTAGAAAACTGTTAGTAAGAACTTACTATCTTTGGTTGCTGATTCACTTTTTTATCTTCCAGATCCTTGAACTTTGATCGAAAAGAGACCATTTTCTCTTGCAGTTCTGGTGTACATAGTTCATACACATCCAACATAAGAGGAAATTTAACATCCTATTTATGAACCAACAAGAAAATTAAAAATGTAAACAGATTTATCAAGGTAGTTAATCAAGTTTAAATGTCAATTATATTTTAAGCTACTGCGTTCATAATTTAAATAAAGCAGAAAATAAAAACTTTGAAAATGACTCAAAAATTGCTGCTGGTGATTTCTGCCATTTCCTTTCAAAAGTGAATCTGTTTTGCACATCCGTTCTACTCCTTTTCTGTCGAGTAGTGCTTGGGGTTCTTAAAAGCGTATAAGCAGCCGTCTACGGCACAATTGGTCTCTATGTGCCCTGGAACAACAGAGCCGCATAGGGGAGTCAGGAATACAAGGAGAAAATGAAGTATGTGGGGCAACTGCTTCCATGAACAAACTCGTTTGACAGGAGTCCAGAACTGGATGGTGGCCACCTACCATTACTTAACATTTTGATCACTCTAATCTTAAATGGGGGAAAACACAGAAGATCCACACAGAACCCAGATTTTCTGGAAGCATGGAATGCTAGATAAATAACCTCCTGACAGTACTGCCCTGAGATAGTCTTTAAACTTAATGCAATTAAGTGGAGAGAAAATGTTTTGAGAATGAAGTACAAATGCGCTTTACATAATTGATGTGTGTATGGATTGTGATAAGAGTTGCATGAGCCCCCAGTAAAATGTTTAAAATAAATAAATAAACAAACTTAATGCAAAAATATTCCCTGGGAGATTTATTTTTTTTTTTTGGGGGGGGGGGGAGATTGCTTTAAATTGAACAAAAGCTTATCTTAATTAACAAAACATGTCTGCCTTGAGTCCCATGCTCATTTAGGGATCAAATTGACAACCACAACTCAAAAGATTAATTAAGACACTGGGGTGAAATCCATCCCCCTATAGGCAATTGATCTTCAACAAAGGGCCAAACAACACTGAGTTAGAAAGAGAAGGCCTCTTCAACAATGGTGCTAGCAAGATTTTCTCTCTGTTTGAGGAAGAATGAAACAGGACCTCCCCCCATGAACAAAAACAAACTCAGGGTGAATCAGAAACCTAAATGTAAATCCCAGAGCCTTAAGGATCATCAATGAAGAAATCAGAACAAGGTTAAGTGCCTTCACACAGAGCATACATATACTACCAATAAGACAAGGGACCTACTAAAATAAGACACTTAAGCACATCAAAAGACTTCATCAAAAAAGTAAAACAGTAGTCCACAAACTTGGAATACTCTTTAGCAACTTTACAATGGCCAAAGGACCAATACCTAAAATGTACAAGAGTCTACAACGCCTCACCAAGAAAAAAAATAATCTAATTAAAATGTGGGCAAAAGACATGAACAGAATTTACCACAAATGATATTCAATGACTAACAAATGACAAATGCACACAACCACTAGCTATCCAGGAGATGCATATCAAGACAATGATGATACATCACTTTATACCCACAATGATAACCCATTTACAAAAAAAAAAAAAAGCAAACAACAAATGCTAGAGCATGCAAGACATCAGAACTCTCATATGCTGCTGCTGAGTTTGTAAACATGTACAATCATGATGGAAAGGGATATCGGTCTAAAGCACTAACGTAACTGGTAACAGAGATCTCATATCATCCAGCAATACCTATGCTGAGGACACGCCCCAAAGAACTGAGACACAACAGAGACAGACAGACATATGCTCTCCCATGTGCAGCATAGCACAATTCACAATAACAGGAAGGTAGAAACAGCCCAAACACCATCAGTAGAACAGATTTAAAAAAACCTCTGATACATACACATAATGGGATATTATAAACACCTCATGACATAGACAGACCTGGAAATCATTACGCTGAACAAAGTTAGTCAACTGGAACAGGGCAAATATTGTATGAGACCACTACTATAAGTATAAACACAAAGACAAGGGCAGGCATCTGTTATCAGACCGTGTAATTGGCTAATCCAGGCTCCTGAACAAGGTGGTGTGCCTATCTAACGCTTTTGATCCATATTATCATCCCCTTATTGGTCCATCTGAAGAACCTCTTTGTCAAAAGAGGCCTCACTAGTTTCTCGTGTTGGAGGAACAGGCCAAGCACTTCCTGCCATTTAGCATTATTCCATGGTCAATTCAAATCAGTATAATCAAAGTAACTCCTACAAGAGTGCTCTATGAACCCTAACAGAAATTTAAGTTGGGCCCGGGGCTAGGGGTGGTACACATAGAGCAACCGGCTGTATTAGGCTTCTAAGCAGACACTTCTGACAACTTTCTATCCAGACCTTAGTGATACAGGCCACTCGAGTGCTATGGATCATGGGGGCTTGAGACTTTGTCCTTTCAGGGTGTATAACATCCTTCAACAGGCCACACTAGAAGGGTCCAATTTGGAAATCACAGACTTCACCTCAAAGTTGTAGTTGATTAAAGGAACTGAAAAACTCCACAGGAGTGAAGGCTGAAAGGCTCTAGTGAGAGAAGAAGCACATGGCTGCTATCCCAAGATTGTGGATTTGCAAGTCACATACATGACACATACATGTCCGTCTGGTTCAAATCTTTTGCTTTGGGGATGCCCTATAATGGTCAATTTAAGATTACCCTGGGTCAATAGCTACATTGCAAAAGTTGCCAGGAGCAAATCAAAAAACATTCTGGTGAAAATGTTGAGCCAAGCTGGGACAGGGTACACCTTCAACACCAAGCGAAGCCGGCATCGGGAGAAACTGACCCTTTTGCGTTATGACCCTGTTGTGCAGAAAAAAGTCCTCTTTGTGGAACAGAAAAAAATACGCTCCATCTAAACAATGGATTGAAAATGAATTTGATTTATAAAAAAGAAGACTGGAGGATGGGACACTGATTCAGAAATCCTGCTGATGGTAATGAAAAAAGAGGAAATGGCCTGGAATCACTGCCTCCTGTGATTTGAAGGCCATTGTGAAGGAAAACAATACAGTGAAAGAAAGTTCTTCATATTAGGACATAGATCATTGTATCACATTTATTTATCTTCCTAGATACTTTTATAGCTCCTAATAAAAATATTAAAATAGCCAGGAAAAAAAAGACTACCCTGTAATTGCTATTTTCATAATAGTTAGGTTTTTTTGTGCCAACATGGCACCCATAAGATGGGTAGAGTCGCCTGTCAGTCATATCACATCCTGAAGGTGCCTCCTTGTGGATGTGGCCTTCTCATGAGGGACTCCCTGCTCTCTCTGCATTCACCTTCCTGTTAGCGGCCACGAGCAACTGAGACCTGCCAGAGCCTTGTGATGCTCCCACCGCCATTGGATCCACAAGACAACACCCACTGGCCTGTGCCCTTGCATTCTCGATCATTCTATGTAGCTGGGCGAGAGGGGTTTATGGAGCAGTACTGGACTTGATTTGGACTGGGCTGAGATCTTTTTGTCCCCCTACCAGGATCTTTTCTTGACATCCAATTATTCTTGATATAAAGCTCTTTCTTACACATGAGTGTCAGCGAATTTGTTTCTCTAGTCAATCTGGCCAACACAGTGAATGAGTGTTATTGAAAGTTTTGTCCTTTCTCCAACCCGCATTATATACAGTCTTCAGTCACTTAAGTTTTTAATCTGTACAGATCCACAATCCATGTATTTTAATCTAAAAAGCTGCCTTATACATGTGTATGTTCCTTTTCTCAACAGTATCTTAAACACCATTGGCTAAATTAAGATACTAGTAATAGAATTATTTTACCATGCCCCATAGAGATTATTTAAAATATTCCCCAATAAAATGATAATGATGTATCCAAAGTGGACCAAGAACATTTATGTCTATAAATGGATTTTAAGGAACACAACATATGTACAAACATGCGTGATGCAATGGAATGTAGTAAGAGTTGTTAGAGTCCCCCAATAAATGATCTTTTAATAAAAACATTTTTTAATGGATTTTGAGCATTAATCAGAAACCTTAAACTAAGGACAATTAGTTTTTATGATGGAGCCCTACTTGATACTTGCCCTCATAAAGGGATCACTGAAGATATGAGTACTAATGCACAGTGTGGTGCGAAAAAGCAGATGGTGCCCGGCTATCAGAAAAAATAGTGTTTGGGGTGCTAAAGGCTTGTCTTGAAACAAGCAGCCACTTAAGTGAGGTATCAGCTATGTGACCCAAAGATGGTAAGCAATAAAACCCAAGACTGGAAGAGGGAATTTTATTACAGCTGAAATTCTAAGCATGTCAGTTACAGAATGCAAAAGATGATAATGTAAGCCCAAAATTCATCTGCAGAGTCCTCGTGTGGATTAAGCCTCCCGTGAACCCCTCTGAGCAGTGACCAGAGACATAAACAGCCTTGCATCAGATAATGCATTGGAAAGTGGGTTAATATAGGTGAAGTTAAGTAAAAATTTAGCACCTAATAATTTATTTTTCCTTTTGACCCATTTTAAATTTGTTCTAATTTTTATTATTTTCTGCTTTCTTTTGGATTGAGGGTTTTGTTTTGTTGTTGGGTTTCTGTGGGTTTTTTAATTTCCTTTATGTGAAATCCAGAATAGATAAATCTATGGAGACAGTAATTAGCTTAATATTTTCTTAGGGTTATGGCAGGGGAAGTTGGAGGAAACAAGGAGCTAATAAGAATGAGCACAAATAATGAGTACAAGAATGAAGACAATGTTCTAAATTGATTGTGGTAAGGACTGCACAACTCCTTTTAATATACACTATCCATTGAATTGAAGGCAATGAAATACATGTTTTCTTTAAAAAAAAAAAAAAAGAAACTGAAGGGACAGATTTCATGTTAGCAGGGGAGAACCACTCAGAAAAGGAGAATGAGAACAGTTACACAACTCAAAATATATAATCAATAAATTATACATGTAGAAAGTATTGAATGCTTTGCTGTGCATAGTTTCAAAAAATAAGTAAAACGAAGGAAGTAGTATCACGTTCTCCTCCCAATTTACATAAAGAATGTTCACCAAAAAAATGTGGTGAACCTGGATCCGATGTTTTTAAGATGAAGAATCTCAAAACCTTCCTGGTTCCATTAAGCACTCTAGCCCATGAGTCTGATCACAGAGGACAGATTTAATGACTAAGGAAGGACCTTAGAAACACTGAACTAACAGCTATCTGAATGACAGATCCTTACAAGTGGGCTACTTGTAACTGCACTGCCATGTTTTCTTACTTATACAAACAATAGTGATGTGGTTGAATGATTCAGCTAAAAGTTAGCCATAATAGATTTTTGAAGAGGGTGTCAAAATATTTGTTTAAAAAATGGAATTAGGAACCGATTACAAGGATCTCCTCCCTGGGGGATGGACAACAGAAAAGTGAGTGAAGGGAGACATCAGACAGTGTAAGATATGACAAAATAATGATTTATAAGTTATCAAGAGTTCATGAGGGAGAGGGGAACAGGGAAGGAGGGGGAAAATGAGGAGCTGATGCCAACAGCTTAAGTGGAGGGCAAATGTTTTGAGAATGATGAGGGCAAGGAATGTACAAGTGTGCTTTACACAACTGATGTAAGTATAGACTGTGATAAGAGTTGTATAAGCCCCCAACAAAATCATTTTTTTTTAAAGAAAATAATAACAATGTACAATCTACCCGTGGAGAGCAAATGTTATAAGGATGAAGGCAACGAAGGTACAAATGTGCTTTACACAACTGATGTATGGATTGTGATAAGAGTTGTATAAGCCCCCTAATAAAATGATTTAAAACAAAACAAAAAAAACAATGTACAATCTATCAAGGAATTATTAGGGTGGTGGTGGGGGGACAAGGAGCTGATACTAAGGGCTCAATTAAAGTAAATGTCTAGAAAAGAATGAAGGCAACGTATGTAAAAACATGCCTGATTGAATCAATGTATGGACAGTGATAAGAGTTGTACGTGCTCCCAACAAAACGTTTTTTTAAATTTATTTTATGTTTCTTCTTTTTTTAAAAATCATTTTATTAGGGGCTCATACAACTCTTATTACAATCCATACATACATCAATTGTGTAAAGCGCATTTGTACATTCATTGCCCTCATCATTCTCAAAACATTTCCTCTCCACTTAAGCCCCCGGCATTAGGTCCTCATTTTTCCCCTCCCTTCCTGCTCCCCTCTCCCTCATGAGCCCTTGATAATTTAGAAATTGTTATTTTGTCATATCTTGCCCTGTCCGATGTCTCCTTTCACCCACTTTTCTGTTGTCCGTCCCCTAGGGAGGAAGTCACATATAGTTCCTTGTAATCGGTTCCCTTTCCTACCCACTCTCCCTCTACCCTCCCAGCATTGCCACTCACACCACTGGTCCTGTAGGGCTCATCCGCCCTGGATTCGCTGTATTTCCAGTTCCTATCTATACCAGTGTGCATCCTCTGGTCTAGCCAGACTGGCAAGGTAGAATTCGTGTCATGATAGTGGGAGCGGAGAGGAAATATTTAGGAACTAGAGGAAAGTTGTATTTCTCATCATTGCTACATCGCACCCTGACTGGCTTGTCTCCTCCCCGAGACCCCCTCTGCAAGGGGGTCTCCAGTGGCCTACTAATGGGCTTTGGGTCTCCACTCCGCACTGCCCCCATCATTCATTATGGTAAGATTTTTTGTTCTGATGATGCCTTATACCTGATCCCTTTGACACCTCGTGATTGCTGGTGTGCTTAAATGGAATTAAATGCTAGGAAAAAAACAAAACAAGAAACCACAGGTAATCATAAAATTGGCTCCTAAATCAAGGGATTATAATTTGAGTGTTCTTTACATACTAGAAACACTCTTTCATCTGAAGAAAGGGACTATATGGAACAGTAGGCCAGGTGGTATAGTGTGTTGCTCATTCAGCTGCAAACTACAGTCAGCAGTTCAAAACTACTCAATGGGAGAAAGAGGAGGCTGCTGGTCCTGTAAAAACTTACTGCTTTGGAACTCAAAGGGGCCATTCTATTCTGTGCAATAGGGTCACTTAGCGTTGAAATCCACTCGATGGCAGTGGGCTTGGTTTCAAGTACCATCCTCACCTCTACTGAATCTCTTGGAGCTGAGGATTCAAGGAAATGACTTTAGAAGAGTATAAAGCCTCTTCTTTCTCCCATGGAGCATCTCCTGAAATGCAGACCTTACAATTTGCAGTAGTGTATAACCCACTACAGCAGTGGTTCTCAACCTTCCTAATGCTGGGGCCCTTTAATACAGTTCTTCATGTTGTGGTGACCCCCCAACCATAAAATTATTTTCATTGCTACTTCATAACTTCAATTTTGCTACTGTTATGAATCGGGCGACCCAAGGATCATTCGACCCCCAAAGGGGTCACGACCCACAGGTTGAGAACTGCTGCACTACAGCAGCTAGGATCCTTTCATGTAAATAGTGTTAACAAATAATGGGGAAAGCTCATCGAGCGATCTATTTTAAGTCAGGCACTGTCTTGAAAGAAATATAATGGATTATACAAACTAAAGTTTACCACTAACCTTAAGAACTTTGGCATTCACAGATTCCTTCTCTTTATAAAAAAATCGAACCATCTGAATTGTCAAGTAAGCAGGCAAACGGCTAATCTTGGACTGAAGAAAAAAAATGCATACAAATCTTAGTATATTCAAATACCATGCTGATTTTCAATTCCTTAGTAATAAAAATAAAGACAAATTACATTCATGAAGTGAAAACCCATCAACAAAATGTAATTAAATTTTGAAAAAAAATGCTCAACTTACAGATTTGGTGTACAAAGCATCTCTTTGCAATGTTGGAGACTGCTTGGTGATTTCTTCCTGTAGTCGCTAAAAATATAATAATAGACGATCAAACATTGGTTCTTAAAAGAAAAAAATATATCCCAAAATTTATCTAAATTTATTAAATCAGTTATAATTATTTTTAAATTTTGCTAATAATGTGCTCTACTTTAACAAAAATATAAACCAGTTAAAGAATTGTTATCATTTTTGTTTTGTTTTTACAAGCACAATACTTCTGTTATTATATTTCAAAGTTTGATTTTAAAAACTTGCCAACATTCATAAGCAAATGTGGTGAAGAAAGCTGATGGTGCCTGGCTATTAAAAGATATAGTGGCTGGGGTCTTGAAGGTTTGGAGTTGAACAAATGGCCACCTAACAGGGAGGTAACAAAGTCCTTATGGATGAAGCGCACCAGCCCGTGTAATCATGAGATGTTGGCAGGAAGAAGTATCACAAGTTCGAAAAGCACGCATCCAAATTGATATGAAGGGGCCTGGATTTGTGGAGCTCCAAAGTCCACCAGCAAGACAATTGGACAGTTCCTCTTAATAGGGCCTATGGAACAGATGATAAATCCAGACTGCAGTGTGGCACTGATGAACCACATACATAGCTATCCCAAGTGCTTTATAATTTTATTCCCTTACTATGGTCCGTATGCGATCCACGTCATTGGTCATGCTCGACTTGTGTATGTTCATTTAAGATCACTCGCTACATGATAATTAAGACAAATGACCCCTCAGCAACACTGACAAAAGTAATGGTTTCCAGAGGGTATGGGGAAAATGGGGGGGGGGGTGGTAGCATTTATGATTGTATAGCCCAACTAGATGGTAATCAACAACAGAATTGTATGGGAAGGATATACTGGAATGAGTAAGATATGTCAATAAAAATATTAGTCAAGAAAAAATATATAAAATTAAAACTTTCTAACAAAATTCCAGTTTCTGCCCCAACGCATAATGAACTAGGACATCCTTACTACCATCTTCACAAGAAAACACTAGGAAAAAATAATTTAAAAGCCAACAAATTTTCATAGATCAGACAACTGAAGTCAAGGGGTAAATCACTGCCCTAAAGGCAGAGATATAGACTACTCACAGCTTACTGGGAGCAAGGAGCAGAAACTACCTGTATGTAGTAATAATGGCAAATGACAAATTGCTGAAGATTAAACTTGAGAGTGAAAAATTCCTGGAGTTTCATACTTAAGGGCCCTTACCAGGTTATCAGAGAATGATCCCCTGAGCTTCCAGCAACTCTAAAAACATGCTCCTGTAACAATGGCTTACCCTCAAGAAAAACCATTATACCTGAGTCTATGTTTTACCACAGTCTGACACAGAGAGGCATCATGGCTTATACCTAGACTACTAGCTTCAAGGTCAGCAGTTCAAAAATACTAGCACCTCAACAGGAGAAAGAGGAATCTTTCTTCTCCACAAAGATTTATAGCCTCTGAAACCCACAGGGGCAGTTCTACTGTAACCTATATGGTTGTTATGTGTTGAAGTCAACACATAGTTTGGTTTCACTTTTGGTAACAGAAAGGAAGTACTCCCAAAAACAAAACAAACCTCATTGCTATCAAGTGGATTCCAACTCATAGGGGTCCTGTAGGGCAGAAAATTGCCTCTAAGAATTTCCTAGGCTGTAAATCTTAGTGGAAGGAGGTAGCCTCATTTTTCTCTCGTGGAGCTGGTGGGTTTAAAGTGCTGACCTTGAGATTAGTGGTTCAACATTACTACCAATTTAGGACACTGTAAGGCAGCAGTTCTCAACCTGTGGGCCGCGACCACCTTTGGAGTCGCCCAATTCTTAACAGTAGCAAAAATTACAGTTATGAAGTAGCAATGAAAGTAATTTTATGGTTGGGGGTCACCACAACATGAGGAACTGTATTAGAGTGTCCTTACATTAGGAAGGTTGAGAACCCCTGCTGTAAGTAAGGTTCAATAGAATGTTTCAGAGCTTACCTAAGGAGTAGAAGAAAAACAAAACTGAGAAGTACTTAGGGACATGGGAGCACAGGCTCACTGACTGACTTGAAACTAAGGCTTCTATAAAATAGCAGCAGATTACAGGACACTTAAAAGAGCCCTGGTGATGCAGTGGTTACACATTCAGCTGCAGAAAGATGAGGCTTTCCACTCCTGCAAAGATTTTGTCTCCAAAACCCAGAGGGGGAGGTCTACCACTGTGTCTTGTGAGTCAGAATTAACTAACGGCAGTGAGAGAGCCAAGAAATCTAAATCCAATGGGAAACAGAAAAAATCCCAGAAAAGCTTTTAGCCTGATACCTACAGCTATAACAGCGAAAAGCCCAATCCTAAAACAAATTTACTGCCATTGAGTCAATGCCAACTCACGGTGACCATAGCCAGATAAACACAAACTTTCACATAAGGCATACTACAAGATAAAAAATGGTGTAAAGCTACAGAGCAAATATCTGTACTAAACTCAAATATGGCAACTGAAAATCCCATGGCTTGTGTCAGGCCTACCTTAGTCCTCAAAGGATCATCTTTGCTTATCAGCACTCTAAAGAGGTCGTGTGCAGATTTGCCTAATGTAATACATCTTTGATCTCCTGATCGCTCCTTTCATAAGCATTGATTTTGGATCTAAGCAAGATAAAATCTGTAACAACTGCAAACTTTTCGCCATGTTATCATTTTACCTATTAGTCCAGTTGTGAGTTTTGGTCTTCTTTACGTCGTGAGTTGTACAACAGATTGAATAAGCATGGTGAGAAGATACAACCCTGACACACACCTTTCCTAATTTTAACCCATGCAATTCCCTTGTTCTTTTCACACAACTGCCTCTTGATCCATGTAAAAGTTCAACAATGAAGTGTTCTGGAATCCCCACTGTTCTCTAGGTTATCATGGTTATGATCCACATAGTTGAATGCCTTGGCATAGTCAATAAAGCACAAGTAAACATCTTTCTAGTATTGTCTGCTTTCAGCTACGACTGGCATCAGCAATATCTCGTGCTCCATATTTTCTGCTCAATCTGGCCTGAACCTCTGGCAGTCCCTGTCAACGTACCACTGCAAATGTTGTTGGATGATCTTCAACAAAATTTTATTTACATGTAGTATCACTGATATTGTTCTATAATTAGAGCATTTTGTCAGGTCGTCTTTCTTTAGAATAGGTACAAATATAGATCTCCTCTTAGTCAGTTGGCCAAGTAGCGGTCTTCCAAATTCCCTAGCATAGTTAAGAGTTAAGTGATTCCAGTACTTCATCAGCTTGTTGAAATATTTCAATTGGTATTCCATCAATTCCTGAAATCTTGTTTTTAGCTAATGTTTTCAGTGCAGCTTGAACTTCTTCAGTACCACTGGTTCTTGCTCATATGCTATCTCCTGAAATGGTGCAATGTCAACTAGCTCTTTTTAGTACAATGATGCACGTGTGTTCTTTCCATCTTCTTTTGATGCTTCCTGCACCATTTAATACTTTTTCCATAGATACCTTCAATATTGCAACTCAAGACTTGCATTTTTCCTCAGTTCTTTTGATCTAAGATACCGTATATACTTGAGTATAAGCTGACCCAAATATCAGCCGAGGAACCTAATTTTTTAAAAAATTATTTTATTGGGGGCTCGTACAATTCCCATCACAGTCCATACATACATCCATTGTGTCAAGCACATATGTACATTTGTTGCCCTCATCAATCTCAAAACACCTGCCTTCCACTTTAGCCCTTAATATCATTTGCTCATTTTCCGCCTCCCTCCCCCCTCCCCCATGAACCCTTCATAAT